TGGATGGACCTTCACCAAAATTGGTATGGAGATTCATTAAGTCCATGCGGGGTACATACAAATTCTCAGTTCTGTATTTTGCGTTTTTTACAACTACTTCGCCCCCTATAAATAGATATTCACTAAATTTGGTATGGAGGTTCACTGGGTCCATGGGAGGTATATACACATTTTCAATTTTCTATTTTGTGTTTTCTAGTTTTTATGGGCATTTTTGTGATTTTTACAATAACATATAAGGGGAGCAGTTTTCATGTCCTAAGATAACCTTTCATTAATTATGAATTTATATAATTTCCGTCCAGGTTCATTTGGTCCACGCGGGGCTACATACAAATTTTCAGTTTTGCGGTTTTTATGCGCGTATTTTACAAGTATTTTGCGCCCCTGTAGAAGGATATTCACCAAATTTGGTATGGAGGTTCAATGGGTCCATGGGGAGATACATACAAATTTTCACTTTTGTATTTTGTGCTTTGCAGTTTTTATGTGCGTTTTTTAGAATAACATATAAGAGAAGAAACTTTTCATGTCCTAAGATAATCTTTCATTAATCATGAATTTACATAACTTCCGTCCACAGAGTAAGTACATTATGTACATGTGCGTTTTGTGAAACAGTTTTATCCATTGTGTATTGTTTAATTTTTTACTAATTAACAACACTTTGTTGCTTTAGCAACCATATAAACAAGTGATGTCTATCTCAACTCGAGGGCTTTATTTAGTGGCTGTGCTAGAAATATGCACAACGTTCTCAATAATTTTTCAATCTGTTTTTTTTCTTCTATCTTTTACTAAGACGACATTATTTCATCAACCGCTTCAGACGTAAGATCTAACTTATACTTTCATCTACGAGCATGCAATTCAAGGTGAGGCTCGCGAGACTATAACCTTTTTTTAATCTCGCCGACATAGACAAAGAAAGATAAGACAGCTCAGCCGCTGGGAACGCAGGAGTTAAAACTAAATATATATTCAGTACATACTACATTATGTGCAGAAGGGACGCGACCTATGTTTAATTTATATATATATACTACCACATATTGGAAAAATAAGAGCCTTCGTTAAAAAGTAAAAACATCTTTTCTGGAAACAACAGAATGGACAAGGAAAAAACCGGATCAGTTCTATACTATGCGCGTGCTAAGAAAAAAAACAAAAAAACCTTAGTGACGTCACGATATTAAGTCTAACGAGAATAAAATCCTCAAGGGGTATGAAAGCAATCACAAAAACGCTCAGAAGCAAGTTAGAATCAATATATGAACTGTTACAGGTGCTACCATCATAACAGATAGGTTTATGTTAGGGAAGATGTTTTCAGGAAGTGATTGAAAATAAGCGTTGTTAATGTGATAAAGTTTCAGTGTTAGATTCCTAAACTGTTATACAGCGCATGAAACAAAAACGATTGTATCGTGTCTTAAATATTTCCCTGTGAATTCGTTAAACATCTATATAGTGAACATTAACTTCAAACTAAAAAGTACTCGTCTTAAGTCGTATGTTATTGAATTATACACTTTCAAGTGGAATTTACAATACCACTGATTTTAAACTTCGTATTTAAGAATGAATTCAATATCATAAATAAATAAAAACATTCAAATACAATTTAAAATACAATAGAGTTCTAATCGTTATATTGTCTCGAGTCTTACTACACATCCTGGTAACTATAGCGACTCAAGTATTACTATACATCTTGGTAGATATACTGTTTCAAGTCTTACTATACAATGGTAGCTACATTGTCTTAAGCTTTACTATAAAGCCTGGTAGCTACACTGTTTCAAGACTTACTATACATACTGATCGCTACACTGTTTTAAGCCTTACTACACATCCTGATAGCTACACTTTCTCAAATCTTACTACAAATCCTGGTAGATATACTGTTTCAAGTCTTACTATACATCCTGGTAAATATACTATTTCAAGACTTATTAAACATCCTGGTATCTGTACTATTTCAAAACTTATTAAACATCCTGGTATTTATACTGTTTCATTACTTATTAAACATCCTGGTATTTGTACTATTTCAAAACTTATTAAACATCCTGGTATTTATACTGTTTCAATACTTATTAAACATCCTGGTATCTATATTATTTATTATACATTTTTCTACTTCGTCATAAGTTAATTCATGTCATGAAAACCAAAACAGGCTTTAAAGAATTATGTGTTAACAAACTGTGATGTAATTAACATAAGATCGTTTAAGTTGTTATGAAAATGGCCTCATTTCAACCTATTTATTTAATAAACTTCAGATACTGAAAGCGTTATTTTCATCATCTACAATTTATATTGTAAAGGTTATTACGTAAGTCACAGACAACGCGGAGGTTTGTGTAAAGTTTAGTTCACAGTGTTGCAGACAACTGAGGTGGCACGTGACTGTTAAGTTTATGAGAAATATATTAATAAAGTATTTGTAACCATATATGGCGATACAGGAATGGTGGATAGTAAGAGATTTATTGGAAGTGACAAATTGTCCAAAGTGATAAAGAGCTGACTAATATGGAGTTTTATTGCACAGCTACACAGGATTGGCTAGAAGTGTTACCTTCATTGTAAAAGTGGCCAATAGAATGAAGTAATACTAAATATATATATTGATAACTATTTCTGAGGGCACGAATGAGAGCTTGAGATGCCTCAGATGAGTTATTAGGTATTTTCCAAAGCTGTTTATAAACAATAGTCGAGAGCCTGAAGTGGCTTATGTATAATATTTATTGCAGTATAATCGAATGAATTATTGAAACGACGCGGGTAACGTTTAAACAAGTCAGTAGCTATGGGATGAACCAACACAAGAAATGTGTACTATTAGACTACGTTTATGATAACGTAACTGACGTAGGTACGAAAATCCATGATACAATCTCTTCCATAATAACCTCTTTACAACATCTGTACAAAGTTCAATCTAAGAGAATACTCTATCGCCAGAACAAACTTTTTTGTTTAACTCTGCCGGAAATAACGTAGAATTACAGCCTACGGAGCTGTGATAGGTACATACTTTGAGTCGCACCTTTCGACAAAAGTAGAAGTTAGTCTTATTTCCGTCCTCAGAAAGACCAATTACAACTGTGTAGTAGAAGATTTATTGTTGTTTCGTGCACACAATAACTAACGTTTTATCTGTAAAATGCCTATTTGATATATATATATACAGTTCAACTAGAACTATACGAGTACTACACATAGACAAGTCTTGGAAGTTTGCTTGCGCTGTATGTGAATTACTGAAGCTTATGTTGATTTATTTTCTTATGAAATATTACAAGTACCAATTGGACAGTCTGACCGAAAGTTACACACTAATCACAGAAAAGCAAAACGTGCATACTCGTAAAGAAACTATAAAATGTCAAACAAAAAATAACACAATTGTAGACTATATTAAGCGCGAGTCATTACTTCACACCAAACTATAACTTGTTAAAATCTCACACTTTTATGTAAAGAAACTGAATACATCTGTATATCAATAAGCATGAAATTACGTCACTTGTTTTTGCTTTAGAGGAAATCCACATTGAGCTATCTGTTGTGTCCATCGCGGGGACTCGAATCCCGGATTTAAGCTGTAATTCCGTAGACTTACTGCTGTTCCATCGGGGGATACGTCACCTGTCTGTTTGTAGCTAGGTAGAAAGCCTCAAACTACTGACACCACATAAACAGACGGAAACGTTTCATATTTTGTTGGGTATATGTTCAAACAATAATTTGTTGGGGAAGGAAGGGAAAATATATGGTACTTTTCTGTGTTATACACAGATGTGGAGCTCACAAAAAACGTAGAAAAAGCGAATAATGATACGATTCGATGTGTACAATCCTGTGATGATCCAAAACTCCCGTAAGAAAACAATAAGATATCATTTCGTGAAAAGGATCTTGTTACATTTCCTTAATCTAATCAGCACTATCCTGAGGACTTGTGCTTAGAGAACTTGTTAAATCCACTTTTCTTCTATTGATCTGAAAAGCAATTAGCCTAAAAGGAAAAATCACATGAAGTCGCTTCAAGACTTCACAACATTGTTCCGAAAATGGCAAATGAAAAAAACATAAAATATGATAACGGAAAGTTGCTATGTTGTCATTGAGAAAATCAAGTCAAATGGGACATTAATTCCAAAAGAAACATGTAGGAATACATCAGTTTTGAAAAAAAAAATGTGCCTAAAATACTAAATAAATCCAAAAAAGATTTCATAACTCACCAGAAAAGGTAACACAAAGACATTGCAAGATTGACGACCTAAAAATAAAAAAATCGCAAGAGCAGAAACTTTAAAACACTCCAGAAACAAAGGTTCACAAACCTATCTCATTCTGTGTCGGATTGTGTTCAATAATAAATGAAACCGGTAACCATAATACCAGAGTGTTCAAACATTCTTGAAACAATAATAAATGAAACCGGTAACCACAATACCAGTGTTCAAACATTCTTGAAACAATAATAAATGAAACTGGTAACCACAATACCAGAATGTTCAAACATTCTTGAAACAATAATAAATGAAACCGGTAACCACAATACCAGAGTGTTCAAACATTCTTGAAACAATAATAAATGAAACCGGTAACCACAATACCAGAGTGTTCAAACATTCTTGAAACAAGCGTCCAGAAAAACCGTGTATATGTTGACAGACATGCAGTGCAGATAACAGCATTCAGAATATATATCAACTCGACGAATAGAGTAATAAACACAGTTTAACTTTACAAAGGATGAGGACAAGAGAAGACATAAGTTGATAATGAGACTTTAATGGTGTAAAAGTGTTTTGTTAGTTTTCTCCCACGTAGTATATGACAATAACATGCAACATTTTGTTTTTTTATATTAAATCATATACTATTTAAAATACAGAAACTATCCCCTGAATATATAAATCTTTATATACAATGGTCAGAGGAGTGCGTACATTCGGCTTCATTCTTATACTTACACTTTAAATACTTGACATACTCTCTGTTTGAGAAGGACCCTGGAAATAATGTAAGACTCGTGAAGTCAGATATCATAACGTTTCAAAACACATTAATAAGATAAATAAATCAAAGCGTTAAACTTAGTGAGAAAGGTTACAGACCGGATTCACAGAAACCGGTATCTGTTTATTATTTTCATGAACCAAGTGCAGCAATAAACTGAATACGGCCATTTTTGGGTAATGACATATCATTTAAACTAATATAAGCTATGATCAGTCGTTGTATACATTATGAAAAAACTAATGGATCCAAATTCAAAACACACATGATCTACAGGTTGAGTAGTTCACTTAGGACATAAAGAGTTTGACATTCGCCAACCTTAAAAACTCAATACACATAACAGTTTACTATCTCGTTTAAATATAGAACATATACAACCTTCAAAACTCGATATACCTACCAGTTCATTAGCTCGCTTAAATATAGTACACACACAATCACAAATACAACAACCTTCAAAACTCGATATACCTACCAGTTTATTAGCTCGCTTTAATATAGTACACACACAATCACAAATACAACAACCTTCAAAACTCGATATACCTACCAGTTTATTAGCTTGCTTAAATATAGTACACACACAATCACAAATACAACAACCTTCAAAACTCGACACACCTATCAGTTTATCAGCTTGCTTAAATACAGAACATAAATAATCTTAAATACAACAACCTTACAAACTAAAAACCTCTACCAGTTTATCAGCTTGCTTAAATACAGAACATAAATAATCTTAAATACAATCTTACCAGTCTGTTAGTTTGCTTAAATATAGCGTATATTCAATCTTAAAAACAAACTACCTTTAAAAATTCAAAACACCTACCAGTTTATATCGCTTAAATATAGAACATACACAATCTTAAATAAAACAACCTTAACCTTACCAGTTTGTTAGTTCGCTTAAATATGACGTATATTAAATCCAACATTCAACCTTTACAAACTCATAATCACACCTTCCAATGCAGTAGCTCACTATCGTATAATATATATATATATATATATATATGTACAATCACACGTACAAGTTCTTCTTATAAACACAAAACCCACCTTACCAATAAATTAGCTCACTACTATTGTATAGTATATATATATATATATATATATATATATATACTACACGTACTAACTACTACGTAATAAACAAA